CATCGTGTCCGCCAGCTTCTTTAAATGGTAGAATTGGATCGTTCCTGGAATTTGAGTGATTATGGGATAAATGGTTTGGAATTAATCATAGCAGTTAGAATACAGTTAAACATGCAGAGAAGTACTTTTGATTCAGCAACCGGTGAATTTTTTATTCTTTTCGATCTAGTACCAGAATAACTGCGAACCATTCCATTCAATATGTCGAATAAGGCACGCAGGAGGAGATCATTACCATGGAATGAGTCAACTTGATCTGAGATAAAGCTTTCAGCATGTTTTCGTTATATCATAGATATCCAGGTTTATTGGCGCTGTAGAGGCAGTGATTTGGATTATAACGTAATCTACAAATTCTCCGTGTCCATTTGAAGTATACATATGCTTTGAAAGGATTACTTTGTTGGCTCCTACCCCCACTGAGTGTTAACAACAGCTGCTGTGGGTTTATGTATTTCCTCGCCTTTTTGGATAAAACATCGCCGCATTCTTTTTGGGTAGGAGACCAGTTGGTGGATTATAAATGATATCCAAGTAACTTTTATCTTTTCATGTGGTGTTGCGGTAAGTTTCTACCTTGTTTTCTCATATTTCATTCGTATGTTGATTATGGTTCGCCCTTTGTATCAGGTAGACATCTGTCTGTCTGTCTGTCTGTTTTCGACATAGAACTTTGCACAAATGTGCGGAAGTTCAAGTCGCCACATTCCGTGTAGCACGCGAAGCAAGAGAAGAAAGTACAAGAAAAGCAAATAGAAACAGTGAGCAGAGGTGTGAGACAAAGGAGTAATAAAGAAATACAAAACAGTTTCATTGGAGATCATAAGTCACAGGGAGTGGATGCATCTGCGCCACTGAGAACGATTTTGAGCCATGTCACCAATTGTTTCCAACCATAGATTTTTGCCGTCCCGAGGACCCCAGCCTGGAAGTCTACACCTTCCTACGTGGCTAAGACCAACTGTTGTGGATTTCATTGACTGATGCCAAGTTTTTGTTTGACCGCCGCTAGCTTTTTTCCAGCCTGACCCTATATCCGCTAACATTGCTCGTCGAGGGAGGCGATGGCTTGGCATACGTAACACATGTCCTAACCATCTCAGTCGATGTAGCTTCACGACTTCGTCGATTGATTTCCCCTGTTTACCTAGGACTCTACGCCTAACCTCCATGTTGCTCACCTTATTATGCCACTTTACACGGGATATAGAACGCAGGCACCTATGATCAAAGACAGCTAGTCTTTTCATGTCTTCCACTCTGAGTGGCCAGGTCTCACAACCATAAAGGAGGACGGAGCGGACTGATGAGCAGTACACCCGCCCTTTGGTCGATAGTCGAACATCTCGTCTACGCCAGAGTCGGCGTAAACTAACAAATGCGAAACGAGCCCCTTGTATTCGTGCTAAAAAAAAAAAAAAAAAAAAAAAAAAAAAAAAAAAAAAAAAAAAAAAAAAAAAAAAAAAAAAAAAAAAAACTACCACTTCACTTCCTATTTCTAAACTAGGAGCCAGTGTAGTCCAGTCCTGTAACATCATCTTGCATTTGGCGGGAGCGAATCGCATGCCAAACATTCGTAGATTGCTGTTCAAGGTGTTTAGAAGACTCTGCATTTCGTCAGCGTCTTCGCCTAGAAGGACTATATCGTCTGCATATTCCAAGTCAACGAGATTATTCCCAGGTAGCAAGTCAATCCCTGAATCGCTGAAGTCACCTAGGGTTAAGTCCATTAACACATCTATGATGAAGTTGAATAGAAAAGGAGATAATGGGCATCCTTGACGGACACCACTGGTCGTCACCAGTTCAGATGACAGCTCGCCGTAAGCCCTCACCTGGCTGTATGAGTACGAATAGAGTGCCTTAATCAGTGCAATATATTTTCTCGGAATTCCCTTGACAGCCAAGCATCTCCAGAGAACTTCCCGATCGACAGAGTCGAATGCTGCCTTTAGGTCAAGAAATATAATGACTGTTGGACGCCGGTAGGAATGCCTATGTTCTAGAATCTGTCGGAGGGTGAAGATATGATCAATACACCCTCTTCCTGGTCTAAAGCCTGCCTGGCTCTCTCGTGTTTGTGCTTCCCGAGCACCACTCAGTCTACGCATGATTATTGAGCCTAAGACTTTAGATACTATATTAGTCAAGCTAATCCCTCTGTGATTATCACAGGAAGACTTGTCTCCCTTCTTGTATATGGGGATAATCAGTGACTTACACCAACCCGATGGGACTTCTTCTGATTCCCAAACGTTGCCTAGTACCTCAGTTAATCCGGACAGTAAGCTGTCTCCACCGTACCTAAATACCTCTGGAGTCATTCCATCAGGTCCCGCTGCTTTGCCTAGTTTCAGATTGGTGACAGCTTTAGTAACCTCAGTTAGTGACGGAGGACCTGTATCTATATCCCATTCAGGGAGGTGTTGGATGCTCGGAAGGTTGAGCGTGGCTGTGGGCAAATTAAACTGCTCCTCATAATGCTCTTTCCAACGATCCAGTCGTCTATCCTGTGAGCTAATTATAGTGCCATTTTTTTCCGAGATTGTCTCACTAATGATTTGTCTTCTCCCATCCGTTTCCCTGATGAGTCCAAAGAGTTGCCTGGTGTCGCCTATCCTCGAAGCTTTCTCCATCTCTTTGGCTTTTGTCGCCCACCACTGTTCACGGTCCTTGCGGAGACTTTTCGTAAGTTTCCTCTTGTGCAGCTTTCGCTCCTCATTGAATTCGGAGCTCGCCGGAATAAGTCTTCTAGCATCCATCAGTTCGGATGAGGCGGTGGAGATCCAGTGGTTTTTACTCACCTTTGGGTTTACCTTATTCACAGCTTTTACAGCTGTATCTATGGCTGCCTGGATATTTTTCCAAGCTTCTTCAGAAAAAAAAAAAAAAAAAAAAAAAAATATGTGTTTAGCTAATTCTTCCTCAAATAGGGATTTAGTTTCCTGATCGAGCTGGGGACGTGATGGTTTTACCGCCAGCTGTTTCCTACGTCCGTTCAGTCGTAAGCACACACGAGCGCGGACCAGTGCATGGTCGGTATCTACGCACGTGTTCCAGAAGGAGCGACAATCTCCTACCGACCCACGCCAACGATAGCTTATTGCTATGTGGTCTATTTGTGTCCAGCGTTGGTTTGACGAAGGGGGTCTCCAAGTCAAACAGTGTCTCTCCTTGTGTTTGAAGTTAGTGCTTGCAAGAAACAAATGATTATCAGAGCAGAACTGTAGGAGACGGTCACCGTTGTCGGTTCGCTGGCACGGAACTCCATAGGTGCCACCGACATAGTTTGATCGACTCTTGGTTGAATGGGTGTTATTGTCATGACTGCTGCTTTTTTGTCTGGAATTATAAATAGAGACAAAACAAACAACAGGTGTAGTCTCTGAGTTCATACATTAAATGGGCCTATGATTTCTGAAACTCTTACATGGGAATTACCATTGGTATCAATTACAAACTCACTTAGTGTGTCATTAAGTGCCTTTTCAAAGGAGGCCAATGTGCTTGCTAGTCGTATTTTCTCAGGTAGTTTGTTCCATATTTGGGCATACCTAATCAAGAAAAACTTTTGCCTGGTGGCTGTTTTACATGGTTCTATAGCCACTGTACCTTTAGTGTGCCTAAGGTTGTATCCTGTGTTACCTGAGGACCGAGTATAGTTAGCAGGGGTATACACTATTTGGTTAAGAAGCTTATAGAAGAGTAACAGATTTAGTCGCAGTCGCCTTAACCATAATGTTTCTAGTCCCAGGATTTCACATCTGGTAGAGTAGTTTGTGCCGTTATCGGTTCCGAGTACTTTTCGCGTGAAGTACCTCTGTACTCCTTCTACTTTCAGTTTGTCTTCTATGCGTGTACTGCTGAATATGAATGAGCAGTAATCTAGGAGTGGGCGCACACATACCTTGTACAGTAGTATTCTGGACTCGTTTCTGTAGAAGTTCCTGAGTAGGAAACCAATAAGCCTTCGTGATTTCGACACTTGATTCGAGATATGCTCTGAAAATGATAGATTGTGTGAATATTTCAGTCCTAGGTCTAGTACAGATTTGAGTCTGGGGATTTTGTGGCCCTGAATTGCTAGGTTGAGGTCAAGGTTGGAACAGCCTATGCAGAGCCATCCACACTTTTCAACATTAAACTCAAGTCTCCACGTGTCACACCATCTATCCATTTTTGCTAATTCTTCATGTATGGAGTTCATAGTTGGGCCGATATCTGTATTTGTGCAGGTATATGTCACCTTCAAGTCATCTGCATACAGTATTGGCTTGCCTATACTAAAACATTCACATATACTGTTTATGTATATAATGAAAAGAAGGGGTCCCAATACACTCCCCTGGATGACACCACTGCTGATTGGTCTAGGTCTGGAGGTCATTGAGCCAACTTTAGTTGTCTGATTCCTGTCATACAGAAATGATTTTATCCAATTGTAGAGGGGGTTGCGTATCCCTAGTGAGCATAGCCTACCGACTAACAGACTATGTGGGACTCTGTCGAAGGCTTTCCTTATATCGAAATAGAGGATAATCACTAGCTCTCTCCTATCTCTTCTATAGGTGACTTCGTTGAAAAAGTCTATATGGCAAGTGACGCAAGATCTTTTCTTGAGGAATCCGTGTTGTGACAGGTTGATGAGTTTATGTTTTAGAAAGTAGTCTGACATTTGGTCTTTGATTACTTTCTCCATGATCCTTGATATGACTGGTGTTATATTGATAGGCCTATAATTACATGCACTAGTTTTGGCCCCTCCTTTATGCTTAGGTAATATATATGTGTTTTTCCAAGTTTCAGGGTAGGTTTCGGTCACTAGTGAGATATTAAATATTCTAAGTAATAATACAATCATATCCGTACCACCGTTTTTGTATATGACGGATGGTATATCGTCTATCCCACAACTACTGTTAGCTTTTAATGTCCTTACCGCCGATGCTATATTTTGTATATTAAAGTTTATTTCACCTAACTTGTAGTTATTTTTGCAGGTTATGTCGAGAATTGGGGACGGATGTGCTTTGGTGTTATTGGAGAACCACTCACTCAGGAGTTCACTAATGATCTGGGGATCATCATAAATTATATCTTCGTGTTCTAAATGACTGATATTGTTTTCTTCACCCTTCTTCATCCGTTTTTGCAAGATTTTGCAGAGTTCCTGGGTTTTAGAGGTGCCCTCTAGGGCTTTATTTTCCTCGACTTGTGCTTTCATTTTATGTCTCTCATCTAAATTTTTAAATATTTCGTGTATCAGGTGTAATGCATTAAATTCTTTGTATAAATAAAATCTCCTTTTTAGTTTCCTTAGTTTTATTCGCGTTTTGCGATCTATGAACAGAGTTGGTGTCTTTAGGGCAGATTTCAGGGGTGCGATTGTGTCTCTTACCGAACTGATTGTCTTGTAGAAGGTATTTAGTATTACTTCTAAGTTATTATTGGTGAAGTATTCACCCCAGTCTGAGCTTCTCAAGAGCGTTGGTAGGAATTCCCAGTCGGCATTTCGATAGTCCCTATATTGATAGTAAACCGGGGAACTCTTGGGTGTGTGTTTAGTTGTTAGTTGTAAGGGTAGGGTGCAGTACAGTATGTTGTGGTCACTGTTGTCGAGTTTATCCCTCACCTCTATCGAGATCGGCTCTATTTTGTGACAGAGGATTAAGTCGAGTATATTGTTGTGTCGTGTTGGGAGGCGTACGCACTGCTTCCATCCTCCCACATCTATGGCTTCTAGGATCACCTCGTAGGTTCTCGGTCCAGTGCAGGTATCCCAGTTCACTCCAGGGAGGTTGAAATCGCCACAAACTAGTTTGTAGTCGAATTCCAGCTTAGGTACAACCTCTAGTATTTCTCCGATAACCGTATCAGTCGTTATAGGGCTGTTAGGGGCTCTGTATATACATCCCACAAGAATGTTATTTTCATTCGTGTGGATGCTTATCCACTTGGATTCTGGGAGTTTGTCGATAGTTAGGTTTGTAAAGGTATTGGAGTTAGTGGATTTAGAGGCATATATTAGACAGCCTCCTCCTCTCTTGTCTGCTCTGTCATTCCTGTGGATGTTATAGTTATCGATTATCAGCTTTGTGTCAGGTATATCAATAGTAAGCCAAGTTTCAGTTACCAGAATCAGTGTTGGCCGCTCCATGTATACCAAGCTGCGAAGGGAAGTTATTTTGTTAAGGAGAGATCGAGCATTTAAAAGCATAATTTTCAGAAAACCAGGGTTGTTGGGATAGTTAGTAGGTTTTCTTGTTACTATCCCTAACTCCTGGTTGCCTATGTTATGTTCGGAGGAATCCTCATATGAGACATTGTCAGCGTGTTTACTATTCCCTGGACAAATTGTGCTGCGAGGGGGGCTATTGCTTGCTGCAGCCGAAAATAATCCTGTTGCATATTTTGACTATTAGCATCCATGGGTCGGCATCTGCGTTCATCTACTGGTGATATATGGTCTGCCCTGCAATTTGGGTTGTAGTTTGCTGGACCTGGGTACCCTGTGTTAAGACTACCCTGGTAGTTGTACCTCATGGGGCTTTCATAGCCGTATGCATATTGGCTCACGTCACGTGCGTGAGTGAAGTTATTGAGGGGATCAAGTGTCGACCTGTTCTCATTATGTTGATGAGGTCTAACATATATAGTGCGGGAGTCTGGACGAGAATTTTCGTTAATATGGTGCCTATATGAGTCCCGTTTAGTGCCCCATGTATCCCGAGGATCCATTCTACGTTGCATTCCCAAGTTATGTGCGTTGTTAGGCATGTTACTTCTAGTCCGGGAAGGGGTATTCCTTCTCATATGCTGCGTGACGTCTTTGGGAATGTGCTTCGTTACCCATGCTTTGTCATTTTTTAGACTGACACGCTGCTTATTTGACTTATTACGAGGGAGGTATGTCGAAGTCTGGGGTGGGACTCTGGGTTTTGTGGTCTTTTTTGCGGTTTCTACTGAGGGACTCTCTGGCTTGGATCCAGATTGAGTGTGGTCAAAAGCCATAGTTTGTGCGTCTATGTCAACCTCATGTAGGTCAGCAGGTTTTCGAGATGTGCTCTCGTGCACTCTAAGACTGCACCCAGTGGCACTGCTCTTACTGAGTTTTGGGTCGCTCTTACTTGCCGTTTTTTCTCCTAACACTATACACGTGACTTGCTGTGCCTCAGTGTCCGTCGACTCTTTAGCACTGATACCAGATGTATTTCTCAGTGTTGTCAACTTTGTGTCGAAGGAGTTCTTGGTTGCTTGCCTTTGGTTTGGTGTTTTATCCGAGACTACTTTGATAGTCTTGAATTTAGTGGTAGTAGCCAGAAGATCTTCGGCCATCTTAAATCGTTCAGCTGTTATGTAGCTGTCGAACCTAAAGAGTATAGGACAAGGATACTTCAGGTCTTTTTTGCTTAGGCGAATGCACTGACAAGGTGCATTCAATAGATTTGCAGCCTTCAGCAATGAGTGCTGGACTGACTTTATGGGCTCACTATCCGGTACATTATATACTATTGCGTTTTGTTTTGAAGCCAGCCTTTTAACAACTTCGCTGGATAGAAAGTCGATGGCGTTTTCTAACTCCTTCGCATTTTCTGAGTCAGTATGAGTCATTCTAGAGGTCATATTAAAAAGCTTTAGGATTGTAGGATCCTGCATTTCTTTTTTCATACGTGAGATAGTTTCAGGTATACATTCTAGGGAACTTAATTTCGTTTTTAATTCATCTATCTGTAGCTGCATCTCTTTAATTACGCACGTTAAGTAAGAGAGCTCTACTTTTTCAGACAGAACATCTTCCACCTGTATTACAGGGGTCAGAGTTATGTTCGAGGCTTTTATGTTGGGTGAACTACTAATAATATGGGGTGGTAATGTGTTATTAGACGAGCCGGTGCTATTTTCTAAGTTACTGGTGTTCACACGAACACGCTTTTTAGAATTTTGAACCATCGTTATTAAAGATCAATTATTAGTAACCAATAAATGAATATAAGCGAAAACACGTGCAAAAGCGTCACCTGATTTGAACGTACCGGGCGAATCTATCAGGTGTGCATCGGTGTGGGCTCGAACCCTGGACCATGTGCATGGTCGGCGAGAGTCCTAACCACTGTGCCACCGACGCACCGATAGGTCAGTTTTTGTCACTGGATGCTTCTGGTTGGCTTATTTTTAGCGTGAAGTTCCCAGTTATTATGTTGGTAGTCAAGGATTATGGGAAACTTGCAATTATTGATCTAATCAACGTTTATTATGCTAAAATATTAATCTATACTATGCTAGTAATAGTAACAGTATACTCCCTAACTATTTTGCCATTGTTTGACAGTGAATCTGTGCGCTGGTTTTTCAGCATGAGTGGCACTAAATCGAACCTACTGGGTTTGCTTATCAACGTTGTTCCTGTACATATTAAGCATGTGCGTCGGTGGCAGTGGTTAGGACTCTCGCTGGCCATGCATATGGTCCGAAGTTCGATCCCCTGCCGATGCACACCTGATATCTATGGTCGGCCTGCAAAATTTGGACTACCGATATCCATGCTGAAAATTCCATACTTGTACCAAAAATACAGTGTGGAATCAAGCTGCAATCCAAAATAAATAAATAAATACTCCAGAGCGGAAAGTTTTGATTCAGCACGCAGCTGTCTTTTTAAGCACGACCTGTGTCATTTCAGAACATAGTGGGTAAATAAGATCTTCAGTTACCATAAAAAGGCATTATCGAGGAATAGGTTAGAATAAGTTTAGAATTGTTGTAAGCTTGGTGGTGCTGCGGTCTAAGTGATCAATCGTATTAATCACCGTTATTCACGATATGCTATGAACCGGAAATGCTCATCTGAAAAACGTAGTAAATAAAACAGATCGGTGTAATTTATAGAGGACTTCAGGTTGCTCTCATCACGAAACAGTCAACCAAAGTATGCTTTAAACTGTCGCTCTCAACCATTTGAAGAGAAATTTACTTGATTTATGCTGACTTAGTATGCACAAATCCCACAGGTCATTGAATTGACAACTTAAGAAAGTAGCTACTACTAACTAATCTAGATTAGTTAATACATACATTTAACTATATGTACTAATTACGAACATTAAATTTCTAGAAATTGTAGTTAAATTATATTCGCCTAGTAATCAAAAATGCATACATCCTATTTTGGACTTAAAATAAATGCATCAAAATTATTGTTGATTTATATTCACTTACTAGACATTCTCATAAATCTCAATATACTTTGAACATCAACAATGCATCTAAATAGCGTGTGACTGTCACACCACACTCACACCAAAAAAATTAGCACGCCATTATATTATGGTAAGGTAAGCCCTAAATCATACTGACTGTAAATTTCCGTGTCAAAATAAAAAGATTACCGGTTTAACTTATATTTTAGACCAATAGGAAGGATTAGCGTTTCAGGCAGACTGTATCAATATATCGGTATAATGAGGATAATAGGACAGTTAGAGGGTTATGTCATTTAGACAGATTTTAGAGGTTGACGGATATTAAAGGTTTGACGTGATATCTCGTTCAACAACTTCTAATTAATTTATTCTCGCGTACCCAAGACAAAGCAAAAGCCAATAATTGGTCGTCCAAACGAAGAAATGTATTTAAGAACCAAAACCAGCCGATAGACGAACGCTTAGCTAGCTAGTGATCGTGCACGTTACACGACGGGGATGCTTGACCGGAAGCCTTCAGCTAAACAAGTCGACTTAAACAGTGGTGGTCAGCATCCAATGAGTGATTGCTGTGGTCAATAATTTTGGGGAATTATTTACCGCTACAGCTCACTCCCCCCCTAGTGGGGTCGTGAGGACCCTAAGACAGAACCAGCCGGAAGTAAAAAAAACTCGATGGTTCCCTTTCGGGTGAAAAAAATCTTCCGAGCGGCTTGGTCTTATGCCTACTGGTTTGTCTGCCTATGCTAATGGGGTGTTTGTACATAGCTTCCTGGTGTTGTTCGTTGGATTCCGTGCTTCGTTTGTTACCCGTCCAGTGCCCGTCGCACCTGGAAAAGAAAACAAGAACGCTAAGAACCATGTCGAGGAAAATGTACGAAATGACCTTTTTGGTTAAAAAAAAAATTGTGCATTTACTATACAGTAAAATAATGCTAAGTTCAGAACATCGAAAAAAAAATACATAAAATTAATTTTTTTGTGTATGTTACATGAACTGTTGAAAAAAAAAATTTTCGTGTTTGGTGGTACTGTATATAAAAAAAATTTATACGTCAAAAAAAATAGTTAGTACCACGAACGAGTGAGTTGCGTGAATCACAC